CATGATGATAATAATAATAATATATATATATAATTTTCCAGATATGCCAAACGTAACCGTGAGTCCGGAAAACATAACGGTTAACGAATCAACCGACATACAACTTTTGTGTTTTTACGATTCAAATCCGACTATATTAAAATCCGTCAAATGGTAAGTTTTTGTTTTATTTATTTATTTATTTATTATTATTATTATTATTATTATTATTATTATTATTATTATTAATATTAATATTAAGAGAGAGGACATTTAAAAAAAAAAAACAAACGAACAAACGGGTTTTGTTTTAGTTTTTTTTTTTTTTAATTAAAACGCGTGCGTGGTATTTTTAAATACGTAAGAATAAGACTAGATTTATGACGTCACAAACATAATTAATTTCGAATAAAAAAATTTTATGTTGCATGCCCTGGTTTAAAATTAAAAACGGTTACGAAGTTTGATTAAAACGGACGAGAAAAAAAAAATTTCTTTTTTTTTTTTTGGACAATAATTTTTTATGCACAGTGGAACGACGACTGGATTTTTTTTCTCTTTCTCTCTCTCTCCGGGGACGCGGTGGCAATTTTTCATTTTTTTTTTTATATTCGGGAGTCACTCACCCCCTTCTCCTTCCCAATTTTTCCCCTCTTCCCCCGTTTGTAAAAATTTTATTAATTTTTTTTTTTTTTTTTAAAAAGAGAAAATAAAAAATAATATGTTTTGTTATAATGAATGAACGAATGCATGTGTTTAAATGATGTTTAAAAACCGGAAACGGAAATGGATGGAAAATTTTTTTTTTTTATTTAATTTTTAAATGTGATAAAAAGGAAGAAAAAGTTTTTTTTTTTTTTACGTTGATGCAACGTCTCGGTTTTGATTTTACAAAAACAAACATTTATTATTAATATTTATATTATTATATTGTACTTAAAAACCGTTTTTATAAGTTTAAAATTGATGTTTGTTTGTTTACGTAATGATACATATAAATGAAGAATGAGAGAATAACTTTTTCTAGAAATTTCTATTTCGATTCGTCGTAAGTTTTCGAAAAAAAATTAAAAATTTTAAAATTAAACATTAAGAATAAGTAAAATAGTTTTTCGAAAAAGAAAATAAGTTAAATAAAACTGAGAGAGATAGAGAGAGCGAAACGAATAATGGGGGTAGGGGGACATTTTGTTTGATTAAACCCAGGGGCGAATTAAAGACATTTTCAAATAGACACGAATTAAAATAATAATAATAAATTTTAATATATTCAAAAGGGAAAATAAAAAAAAAATTTTTTCGACGATTAATTTTTTATTTTATTCGCTAATTAAACAAGCCATCGACCGAATCGTTCCCCCTCTCCTCCCCCCTCCCCCTTCGATTCTCGTTTGTTACGGACGAAAAATTTTTTATTTTTTTATATTGGCACGATTGTTTTTGGTTTTTTTTTTTTTTTGCAAAATAAGAAACTGCCAAAAAAAAAAAATTCAAAAAATGGTGTTAGATAAACTCTCCCCCTCATTTATTTATATTTTCGTTTTTTTTTTTTTTTATTAGTTGCACGCCCTGATTGGAAAAAAATTATTATTATTATTATTATTATTATTATTATTATTATTATTATTATTATTATTATTATTATTATTATCACCATTAAACACGACAAGGCTACTTGTCGGAGTTTTTAAGTATTTATCCGAGGTTTCTACCCGATTCCTTAGGGACAAATACTCGAATTTCGGTGGTGCCACTTATTATAAAATAGCACCACATCAATTCTTGAAGGTCTTCCTGAGTCCGTCTTTTTCGATGGGAACGATTTGTCTCCTGAACTGGGCTCCAGTGACTAACATCTTTGGAGTGGCCAGGGTCAGAAGCAGTGAAATTCACGTTCTCGTCGAGCTGCCTCAGGTCGACAGTAGAACAAGATTTTGTTTTTGGTTCTTACTTTGTCTTGTTCTCATTTTTTTTGCTCTTTTTAAGCCAACAGCACGTGGCGTTCTCAAACGGTCACCCCATCCAAGTT